GGTTTCGGCAAAGTTTATATGGTAACTCTTTCATTTGGTAGTAGTTTCCTCTATTGATTTTAGAGCTGCATGACAGATGACAAACTGCTAGGTTTGATTAATATTTTCTGAAGGGAACACTAGGTGGTCAGGAAGTTGTTATCAAAAGGTTAAAGGAACCGAGGAATTTAGAAATGAAGTTATTCTCATAGCCAAATTGCAGCACAGAAATCTAGTTCAACTTCTAGGATGCAGTGTTGAGGGTGATGAAAAGATCTTGATTTATGAGTATCTGCCTAACAAAAGCTCAGATGCTACCCTCTTTGGTATGTTCTTGTGACACTGAACTACTAACAACATCTCAAAAAAACTTAAATATATATTTATTTTCCCTTTTATTTTCTTCTATATGTAGATAACTCAAGAAAAATGTTGCTAGATTGGCCAACACGATTTAGCATAATCAAAGGAGTTGCAAGAGGACTTCTTTACCTCCATCATGATTCGAGATTGACCATAATTCATAGAGATCTCAAAGCCGCTAATGCTTTACTAGATGCAGAGATGAGACCCAAGATAGCAGACTTTGGGATGGCGAGGATCTTTAGTGATTACCAGATAAAAGCAAATACCAAACGTGTTGTCCGAACATAGTGAGTAGCAATTCTTATGTAATTACCAAACTAATAATTAATTCAAATGCATGAAATAATTTCTACTACTCAAATTGTCAAGCAGTGGTTACATGGCTCCTGAATATGCAATGGAAGGCATTTTCTCTATCAAGTCTGATGTCTATAGCTTTGGTGTGCTAATCTTGGAGTTTGTAACTGGTACAAGGAGAAGCTCCATGAATCACACCATGGGTTTTCCAAACCTTATAGCCTACGTGAGTATATGTCTTTTGACAAGTTGTAAACTAAAATCTTTGTCTAGTCACTATAAACCTATAAGAATTACCACAATCAAAATGGTTCTTTGGTGGTTTCAGGCATGGAGCATGTGGACAGAGGGGAACACAAAAGATTTGGTAGATTCATCTATTATGGATTCTTGTCTGCTAGATGAAGTTTTGCTTTGTAGTCATATAACACTCTTGTGTGTTCAAGAAAACCTAGATGACAGACCAATAATATCATCTGTTGTGTACGCTTTGGACAATGGAAGCACTACCCTTCCAACCCCCAATTGGCCAGCATACTTTGGACACAGGAGCAATGAAATAGACCAGCTAAAGGATGATATTCAGAACTCCATAGGTAGTTTTACTCTTACAAACATAGAGGGAAGGTAAATAATTTTCTTTGTTCTTTATGTATCTGATTTATACTGTGAAGAGAAACTCTTCACAAAGGTTCATGTATCTAATGGTTTAGTAGATTCCATAAAACTTGATATTTTGTAAATTGCTTCATCTTTCTTAAGGTTGATTTAAATTCTATGGTAAATATATTCTTTTAATTTTTTTTTTGGTGTTGTTTGATTGGAGCCTTCACGAATACTCATGTGTTTACAAAACCCTTGCACATTCTTCCCTTAAAAAACAGCTATAGGTCTCTCCTTGGAAATCCCTAAATCATGTGTTTGCTTTAGCACAACTTCTTGTGATTGCTCCTTGGGGTTTAGGCTACCATCTTGGCATATTTTTCATTTTGAGATAAAGTGGGATGGGTTATGTTAGGTCCATCCTTGCGTTAGAAATGGGATGTGGTCCTATTTCATGCTAGATTGAACCCCATTTTTTGTTTAATAGGAAGGATTTTATGGGATGGAATGATCATGTCTCTCGTTTGAATGAAGAGGTGGACACAGAACAGATGCATATGATTACCTCACAAATTTGATGAGGTTACCTCATATTTTGTACTTTCCTATCAATGTATATATAAATATTTTCCCCTGTATTCCCTTCTTTTAAACCCAAAAATTAGACTTCTTTGCCCTAGTAGATCTACTTGCAAAGATGAAAGTGGATCTGCGCCCATGCTGGCTACACCAAGGGCATCCGGCCTGTTCGCTTGCTCGTATCTGGCTTATAAAGCATGGCTTATCAGTCAACGAACAATATTTTTCTCTCACACCAAACCAGCCAACAGTACTTTCAGCCATGGCTTATAAGCCAAACCAGCCCAAACGAACAGAGCAATCATGGCTCGGTTGAGATCAAGATAGGGCTACTAGCTTCACAAGAGGTATGTGGTGCCATGGTGCAACCAGTGGACACTACCATAGAAACGTTTTAGAAGACAACCTCTCTAATTACACATAGGTGAGTACATCTAGAGACCGCTTTAGGGGCACATCTAGATGGCCAGATAGGCTCCAGACAAATGTCTGCCTCTGAAAATGATTTACAGAAGACGTTCGCCTTTTAAAACCATCGATTAATATAGACAGTCGCATTGGGGTGCCCGTCTCATCTCTAAAAATTGCTATTAATAGAGCATTCTAAGCGTCCGTCTCTAAAAATTGATTAAGAGACGAGCATTTTAAGATGCATGTCTCTATAAATAGTTGCATACAAAAATAATTCATAACTTTTCCATAAGAGCTTGAATGAAGACAAACTTTATATCAGAATTATAGCTCTTGACGTGATCTACAATTTTTTAGTTCAGAATTTTTTTTATTTGAAACAATTTAGATTCCTAAAATATTGTTTTAAGTTTATAGATTTTAAAATTTAAAATTTAAATTTTTCATACAACCTTAGATGTTGGCATGGTCTACAGCAAGCTGTAGTTCACAATACAGTCTACAACTTTGTAGTTAAAAAGTTTCTGATTTGAAGTCGTTTAGAGTCTTTAATATGTGTTTTAAGTTCGTAGATTTTGAAATTCAAAATTTAGAATTTCTAAACAACCTTGAATGTTCATGTAGTTAATACTAAAGTTGTAGTGGCTGACCTGGTCTACATATTTTCTATTGATAAGTTTTTAATTTGAAGTTGTTTAATGTCCTAAATATTTGTTTTATACTCACATATTTTAAGATTCAAACTTTTGATTTTTTTTTCAAACAATCTCTGATGGAGACACATCATATTCCAAAGTCGCAGTGCTTGACAAGATTTAAAATTTTGTAGCTGAAACTTTTTTCATTTGAGTACGTTTAGTAGTCAAAATATTAAATACAAGTTTCTAAAATACTTATAAAAAAGAGATAATTCTATATATACTCACAAGTGAGTATCTGGTGCATTAGGAGTGCAGGCGAGAATCATTCTACAAAATACATCCTATAAAATACGGCCTCTAGAAATACATTCTATAAAATACCACCTCTAAAAATACATTCTATAAAATATAACCCATGCTATGTTGGTACAAAATCTGAATAGGTAGGACCGCTACTTCTTCTAAATTGTTGCTATAAAAGTGGCCAAATGGTGCACCACCTTCAATTGTAAGAGTGATCATGACCATGGATTGTTCATGCAAATGAAGCCGTGTAACGTGGATATAAAAAATTGGATCGTGTGCACAGACTGAAAAAGGTTATGTTTATGTGAATAGGTGTGTGCATCTTACTTTGACCTCCATTGATGCCGGTAACAATTACGAACATGTGCACATACAAACCAAAAGATTAAGCCTGTTTTGATTTCCTCAACTAAACTTTAGAGCTCTGAACTTCAGAGCTAAAGCTCTAAACAAGTGGTCTAAAGTTAGTTCTAAACTTTAGCCCACCTCACATTAGAGTTTTAAATCTCAAAAGTGAGCTAAAGTGCTCTAAAACTTTAAAAGAATTAGGGGAGGGGATCAAATAGGCCCTAAGTGGGATCAACCCTCGTCTTGTAATAAGTTGCAATTATGAAATATTGAATATTTATTTGCTATTGATTTAACTTTAAATAGTTTGATACTGGTTCGATGTTCCGCTGAATAATAATTGCAAATGTTAAGTTATATGCTGAATGATACGCCATTTTGATTTCTAATATAAGATCACACATTATTTTCTATGTTCAACTCTACATGCAAACTCATTATTGTCCTGACTCTATTCAACTATGCATGCAAATGTCTAATACTTTCTTCGTTTATTCAAATGTCTAATACTTTCTTCATTTCTAATATTCAACTTTGATGGTGCCATCGAGTTTTTCCCAGCATGGTTCATCCTATTGGTGGGCTATTTGTTAGGCTGCTATGTTATATCTCATTGAAGTGTTTTCTTTGTAGCATGAACCAGTCATGCGGCCAGGTTTGCAATGCATCACTTTCAATTCTATGAGCTATGATTTAGATGTATGCTATGTTTGGAAAGCTCTAATCTTATGTGTACAAATCACATCGTATGTCTTCTAGTTTGTTTCTAGAGTTTCAAATGTGATATGTGAAGATCATATTGTATGCTACAAATATTTCATGTATTTTATTTAAAATATGTTCAAATATTTGAATGCTAAAAAATAAGAGAAAGTAGATATGAATGTGTTGAAATATTTGAATTTTATGGAATTATAACATGAATATACGAGTTTTGAATGGTACAAATGTTTGAATTCTACAACTCTAATATGTGCTAATATAAATTTTTGAAATAAGATAACCTCTTTGTGTAATAATGCCTAAGAGAAGAGACATGATTTGTATTTCTTAGTGCAAATAGAAGATTTTATCTTTAAAATCTATTTGGTGCACAAATCTTGAAACAAAATCTTGTGGCTAAAAGATGCCTTCCCTAGGTGCCTTGGGCTACCATCTCCCCGTGGGCCCGTACTGTACATCAGTACATGACAGCCTCCGTCGGGTAATAATTCCTCGCGGCTGGATGGACGGCGGAGATCTCCTCACGAGTGCCTTTCCGGCACGGCACCGACGGGCACGGCTTTTCCGATCCAATGAAAAACTCCCGTTGGGCGGCTCCGCGTCGGCCACAGATCCATCAGAGAGATCTGCCATCCCCCTCGCCTCCCGTGAACCACAAACCTAACGCGGAGCGTCGCGGGCCGGCCGCCGGGCGAAGCAGGGCGAGGTGCGCGTAGCTGCCATCGATCGTCGCCGGATCCATCCACCATGGGCGGTGGCAACGGCCAGAAGTCCAAGATGGCCCGCGAGCGCAACTCGGAGAAGAACAAGGCGGCCAAGGGTGCGCCCCTCCTCTTTCTACACCATGCCCCTTCCGGTTCTCCGATATTGTTTGTGTTTTCTTCGTGCGATTGCTCTGGGAGGGTGCTCCGATCTGATGGATCTGCGTGTTTCCGCTGTGCAGGGAGCCAGCTTGAGACCAACAAGAAGGCCATGAGCATCCAGGTACCCTGTCTAGATCCGTGTCTTTGCTCTTGCGTTTTGATGTCTTTTGGTGGGAATTCCTTGATGGGTTGGTAGGGCATGTTGTGCTTATAGAATAGTCTGCTGGATTAGTGACTGTAGCTGTAATTTAGATTGGAGTTTCTTTTCCACGGTTAGGATCAGTTGTGAAATTTTACGTGGGGGGATGCCATGAACGATGTAAGTTTACATAGTGCTATGTGGCTATTAGTTTGTACCACTCGAATTGGAGGCTGAAAATAAGATAAGCTCTATCTTTATAGTATATGGCAAAGAACATAACCAAGTCATAATGTCATCCTTTCCCTTAATGGGGCTTCTCAGATCAGTCAAGCAGGCAACACCGTTTGTGTGTCTAGTTTTAGTTACGGTCCAATCTTAGGGCATGTTTGTATACCATGGGCTAATTTTTAGCTCAAATTAGCTGCAGTGCATCCAAAGATGAGGACTAATAGGTGGGCTAATTTTTTATCCAAGTCTTAGAACTAGTTGTTATCTAACTAGCTAGCCAACTCTAGCTAATTTGAGCTAATTTTTAGCCCCAACTACTAACTAGCCATGTGTATCCAAACAGACCCCTTGTGTTTGTTCACTGGGTAACAATCCAGCGGCTGGCTTAGCTTTTAGTGCTTACTGCCTTGTTGACAAATATGCTTATTTTTTATTTATTTATTTATTATGTTGATTGATGGAAACAGTTGTCTGTAGCGAAATTTGGCTTCAGAAATGGCACTATTGTACTAATCCCAACTATTGCCCATGAAAAACAACTTAGTCCATTTGGTTTGTCTGTGCAAACTGTTCTACATCAGGCACTAGATTCCTATCCAATGCTTGGAATTGGAATTTGAACTCAACCTGGACTGTGCTCTGCCCTGAACTGTTTGATCCTTTGAATCTATTTGGAGCTTCAACTTATTCACAGTGTTATGGAGATCCCTAAACTATCAAATTATGGACGAGTCTAAATTTTGTTTAAGTGTGCCACTTGAGGTCCAAAATCTCATTAATTCATATGTACTTGCTTACACATGACGTGTCTGGCATATTTAACTGGTTTAGTCACATTTGGGCCTAGATATGCATTGACATTAGATGGCACCATGGAACACTGTTTAGCACCAGTAGTTCCATTCAAGCTGTATCAGTTTCTTTGTTAGAGTTCACGTTTAATAGAGGAGTTCAAAATTTCTAGATGTACTCAAACTGAAGTAATTCTGCAAGTTTTTAGTCTCGGTTGCATATTTTCACAAGCTGACGTCTGAAGTGTTTTACTGATACTGATTCGTTTTGGCCAACCTGAACACAGTGCAAAGTATGCATGCAAACATTCATGTGTACCACGACTGAAGTGAAGTGCCGGGAGCATGCCGAGGCTAAGCATCCAAAGACAGACGTGTACCAGTGCTTCCCCCATCTGAAGAAGTGAAAAGCCCGAACTAGCAACCAGTACCGTGGTCATGGAGTTGAGGAAATGTGTCTGTTAGCCATGCGGTTTGCTCACAATCAGTACAGGAGGTCAGGAGCTTTCCCTGTGCCGAGGGTGTTCATGTCTGCCGTCAATCATGCGTCCTGTCCTATGTTAACCTATACATAAGAAAGTGATGTGGTGTCCACTTCCAGTGAAACCTATTGTCTGCTGTTAAAACTTGGTTGGTTTCAGAACGATGATTTTCATGTGCAAACAGATTACTGGTCCGTGAGAATTGTGCCAGTTTGCATGTTCTTCATATGTGCTTCCTGCTCAGCGCAAGAATTCCTTTGCACGTGTGTTATGATGTCAGTTATTTACTTTTTTCCAAGTAGCTTATTAGTGCATAATTGTGTAATAGTAACTTTTCGTATAGCTGTAATGTCGCGCAGGTCGACTAGCGTTTCTCGCCATGTTCGTTCGGCTTATAAGGCTTATTTTTTCAGCCAAGGACAATATTTTTCTTTCATATTAAATCAGCTAATTTGCTTATCAGCCAAACAAATAGACAGTGCGCTTGAGTCAGTTGAGAACTTGTGCCCATATGAGGTTCGCGAATTTGTGCTGCTACGTGTGAACTAATCGAGACGTTCGAGCTAGAGAAAAAAATGTCTTCCAAAAGTTTTTAATTAGGATAGATCTCCACATATTGGCCATATTCGCTTGTCTTCTAATTCATATTTTTCAATTTTTTTTTTCAGCCGAAACAATATTTTTCTCTCACAACAAATCAGCCGGAATAGTATTTCGGCTTGTTTTTTCAGCGAAACGAACGGGGCCATTGGGCGTGTTCGCTGGTTTTACCAGCCGGCTGAACACCCTCACAGAATACTATTCATCAACCAGCTGCTATCGTGTTTCTCTCTCACAAAACCAGCCAGTTTCAGCCAAGTTTTAGACCAGCGAACAAGGCCATTATTATCATCTTCTAGTCAAATTTGAAAAAGCTTGTTTCACGACGATCCGTGCATTTATTTCGGGAACTGAGGAAATTGTCTGATTGGATTATCAAACACCCGCCAAATAGTGTGGTTGCTCCGAGCTTCTGGATGATGCTCGCACAGAGAGTGAACGAGCGCCTAACGCGTTAGGCTCACGAGTGAGCGCACCAGTAGTGGTCCCGCACCGTCGGCTGCTTCCCACGCGTATTTCATATGCAAGACCCGATTTACTTTTGAAATATCTAGATGTAACAATTGTAATTTACAAAAGAAGACAGATGAAACACTTGAAACAAGCGTATGAAACACTTACGAAAACTCCTGAAAAACATTTGAAAACCATTGCAAACATATGCAACATCCAGATGAAACACTTGCAAACATACGTATGAAACACCTAAAAACACTTGAAACATATGCTTGCAATATGCATATAATGCAACATCTAGATCTTCATTTGCCACATCCAGACAAAACACTTGCAACATTCATCAGGAACAGATGAAACATTTGGAACATACACTTGAAACAAACGTGTATAGCCATTACAACATGTGTAAAATCCGGAACTGCAATATACAACACTTGCAACATACCACGGAAACATATGAAACACTTGAAACATACTATTGCAACATGCGCTTTCAATGCAGCATCTGCTTGCTGCTCGGATGAATGGAGGCTCGTCGACGCGGAGCTCGACGCTGGCATAGAGCTCGAATCTGTGGAGTGGCGCGGAGGTCGCCGGTGTGGAGCTCGTCGGCGGCATGAACCTCGGCAGGGGCAGGGGCAGGCAGATGGAGCACGACCGCGACAGGAGGCACGAGTTCGGGAGTGAGCTAGCGAGCACCTAGCACGTCGGGCTCGCTGTGCGAGGCGCACGCCCACGGGGCACGAGCTAGGATGCTGCTCGCAGGCGACGCGGGTGGAAGTGGTGTGGGCGAGTGCGGGGTCCGTCTGGACGAATGGACGCCAGCGTTTCCGATCACCAAGAGGTGTGTGCCCAGGTGATCCTCCAGCCTTATACAGCCCAGTAGTTGAGAGCCTGAGGCCCATGTGAAGCCTAGTTATTTGGACCGGACCGGACCGGCGGTCGGACCGGTAAAAGACCGAACCAGAGACTACACCGGCTCGGTTCACTTAAAAGACCGTTCATGCAATCAGACCGCTAAAAACCGGTTGAACCGGCCGGTTTTTTAAGGAACCGGCGAACCGGACGGTTCCATGCGGACCGGACGGTTTGTTGCTGGTCATCTGCGATCAGCGCCGCAGCATGCTGCTGATTGGTTCGTGGGTGGCGCGTGTGCCTGCAGCTGCTGTTGGTAGGCCCCGCCTGTCCCCTGTCTAGCTGTTACCACCGGTGGTGGTTCACGCTTGCACAGTTGGCAACAGTGAGGACTGGAGGAGAAGCAGATGCTCCTCGGCTCCTCGCATATATTGGGCTGGTGGAGAGACATGCTGTGCTTGACAGCGGGAGGCGGCGAGGAGGCAAGTGGAAAGGAATCGATGGAGTGCAGTGCAGAACTGCAGGGGGGCAGCTTGTCGGGGTTCAGGGGACCCAAAGGCGGCCAATCTGTCTGCCTGCCTCCCTGTCCGTCAGTGCCTGCCCTAGCGAGCGATCGACGTGGCTGTGGCTGTCCAGACTTGCATGCACGCCGAGCTACGTTTGAATTTTGGCTGCGCTGACGTAAGCGCCTTTTAAAATTCAAAATATATATCTTTGTCATACCAACTCCAAATTAGTCAAATAATATCCGTTTTGATTATCTCAATTCTCAACGAGCTCTTCGCAATAGCGCACTTTATTTTAATATTTAAGATTGTTTTGCAATGGTGAATATTTGAATTACTATTCAAGTCCTTTTTGCATCCATGTATTATGTTTCCATTTGTTTGTTTATATATATATATATATATATATATTATATATATTATAAAACAACTCTGGAGCACTAAAACTTGTGGAGCTTGTATGTTTTGAATTTAAGAACATGTTATTCTCTGCATATGTATGAACCTTATGGTTGTACAATTAAATTGTGTTGTTTATAATTTATCAATTATTAATTATAGCATATACATATATCCGGTTCAATGTATTTGTGACCGGTTCGATTTAACCGGTCCAAAACAATTGAACCAGCGGTTCAACCGGTTCTAAACGGTTGGACCAGTGAACCAGTGAACCGACGGCCTCGCCGGTTCGATCTCCGGTCCGGTCCTAATAACTATGATGTGAAGACCTTAAAATTTCAGATGTCAAGACCTTAATATTTCAGGTGCTGATTGCGTACGTTTCGTTGATATAATAATAAATGTGTACTGACATCTGAGTACACTTTACGCTTATAACAATTGTTTTTGGACATCTAGTAGTTAAAAAAATCTTCCTCTGATAGTCTGATTTATGTAGTCATTTTAGATTTGTCCATAACGATTATAACTAAGTAAATCAAGTGACGTCAACGCGTTCATCTGTTATGTGTTGGGGAAGTATAGGACCGGGATGCGCCCACTGCGGACGCCCTTAGGCCCCGTTCGTCTTGCTGAAACTTGGTTGAAACTGGCTGAAAACACTATTTTGACTGAATTGTTGTGAGAGAAAAACACTGTTTCGGCTGAAAAAACAAAGCGAATAAGCCGATTTCTGGGTAAGCCGAACGGAGCCTAGTTAACCGATTCGGCTGTTTGTAAAAGCAGTTGTTTGCTGGCTGTCAGCACAATATTTGTGTGAGATAATGGAGGCGGGCGAAAATGCTTAATAGAGGCGTTGCAACCACCTCCGATCAAAGTTCACGGTTAATCGTGACTTTACAGAGACAGTTGCCCTACCCACCACGGTTAATTATTTAATGGAGGCGGGCGCCTTAAGACAACCGCCTTCGTTAATGATGATTAACGGAGGCGATTGCCCTAAGTTGCCTGTCTCTATTAAACAATTAACCGAGGTGGTCTCTATAATTCGACCGCCACATATAAAGATTTAATGGTGGCGGTCTGTTGTTACTTGTCCGCCTCCGTTAATATTTTCCCATTTAAAAAATAGCCTCGGCAATTTGATTTGAATTTAAATTCTATTTTCACAAATCAAACACATATAAAAGCAGAATCAAGACATATATAAACACATATTACATATAGAGCACAATCATATAACACATTCATTGGTGTCCTCCATCGTCAACCAACATCATTCAAAGTTATTACACATGCATGATGTCAAATGTTTACATGTGAAACTAAGATCACCCCGCTATCAACTTTTGTTGGAAAAGAGGTCCAGCAACAAGTAATCCTTGATTTGTAACTTGGTGCTCCAGGTTCTAATCTTCTCGAACTTCGGATCAAGCGCTAACTCGCTTTTCTTGTTGAACAACGGTTGCCCTTCATGCGCGCATTCTGTGACAAACTTACATATGTCTGCTACTGTTTGTCTGAA